TAGACAATAAAAATACTCGCTCCCTTCACATGGACCCCAGATGAATCAGCCCCCTCCTTTTGCAGGAGAGATCCTAGTAACTCCGGGCCCTTCTCGGTGGTTTACGACCCGGGGGTTTACATGAAGTCTGGGGAGGGGACTTGTGCACGACAGTCCTTCTGTGGATGGACAAAATCCTGCATGACCTTATATACATAAACTATGGGATTTATGGTACTGTACTATATTTGGATCATGCAGAATTTTGTCCATCAACAGTTTCTTTCAGTCGTAGATGTCAGGGTAGAGGTTTGCATTACCACGTCTTGGGCGTGAGAAAGTTCCAAGACCCATCGCATAAATACACAAGCTACTAAGTTTGCTGCCGTACTCTGCATTCCCCGTATGTGTAGGTATGTTTATTTTTTTTATATGTATACATGTATATATATATACATAGAGAGAGATATGTTCGTTGTACAACACATACACAAATAGATACGTGTTCATTTCATTGTTTGGAGCTAGCACCTTACCTTCAACCTTTGGACAGCAGAGTGCCTGTCCGCATACTTGAACCTGGCAAGGTAGTGGTGCAGAGTATTGTTGTTTTTGGGCTTACAGTGCCCCGCACCGCACATCTTAAACCTGAAACCCGGAACACTTAAACCTCAAATCTTGAACAAGGTGCCTTCTGCCAGTGGTGTCCTGAATTGACCGACAGTGTCTAGGGTTTGAAGTTGCGCGAGTCCCGCCGTTTTCGTGTAGTTGCTCCCAGAGCAGTTTACTACATTAGAGACCTTACAGTAACTCTTGTAGAACCCTTGCAGAACACATAGACATCCCTTACTTAGAACTGTTCATAGTTTGAGATATTATCATCTGCTACAGAGCTGAAAGTTTATTTTTGGGGGGCTTATGAACACAGCATATACAGGCATCGTAGGGGTGTTGGGTTTAAGGTTCGGGGGTCAAGGCCTGGGGTTTGAAGTTTCGGGTTCAGGGTTGTGGATTTGTGTTCGTGCTTCATGTCAGTAGAGTGTGTGTAAGTATACATCTTCTTCACATAGTACCCTAAGTAAGAAGACACAACTCTGCTCTGGCGCAGATGAACATGCGCATGTAGAGTTGCATGTATGGCCTCCATCCTCAAGATACCGTTGATGATATAAATCCAGCATTACCCGTAATAGGGAATATACCTAATTCCCATAGTTCAGGGTCCTTATAAGGTAATGCAGGCATTATATCATCAACAGCAGTTACACTAAACCCTAAACCCTAAATCCCAAATATCGGGGCCCCAAACCCACAACTGGGAGCACCGGCTCCTGGTTACCCAAAGGGTCTAAGTACCCATATAGTAGATATTTTGGTTCCCAAAGTATCTACCATATTAGTACTTAGACCCTTTGGGTTTCCTCACAGCTATCTCATCAACCTCAGCCTGGGTTCGGTTCCGACCTGCGGTTCAGCCTGCCAGTTCCTAGGAGTTAACTCGGCTTTAGTAGCTGAGCTTTAGGGTTTTAGGGGGTAGGGTTTTAGGGTTTAGGGTTTAGGGTTTTAGGGCTTTAGGGTTTTAGGGTTTTAGGGTGTTAGGGTTTAGGGTTTAGGGTTTCAGACGTATCTTCGTATGGGTGAGGACTAGATCGTATTCATACTCGAAGAGCATGCCTGTGATAAGGAATGAATGATTGCACGGATGATGAGAAGAAGCGACAAACTGTCACTTACACATTTGCCATAGTACATTCTGACAACCTAGGTTCATATTATGGTTTGGTTTTAGCAGCCCTCAGGGCAGAAATTCGGGAGTTCAGGTAAACCGTGAACCATATATAAGCTTCGAAGGTCATCTCGCGCATCTTTTTCCCCCACGCACCACCCAAGCTGTGGAGGTGCGTTGCTTTTCTCATTTCTGCTATATGGAACTGCTACGGTTCTTCGTGGTGTATTGAGTATTGGGCTTATGGGATGTAGATTGCTTGCATCCATTTGCTTGAAGTCTATCGTGTCTCACAGCATCAGGGACTGTGCTGAAGACTTCGTCCGTAGGGCCCCTAAACCCCGAAACCCTAAACCCTCTGCCCGCCTGCGACGAAATAGGGCTCCCTGCACTTCAACGACAAATCAATAAACCCTAGACGGTTCAGCTGCATCCCGGAACGCTTGACTGTCCTGCAACCCTGCAGTTCTCCTTGCTGGGTTTGGATGATCAGGAGGCATGTTGTGAATCTGGGCTTAAGGGCACTATACATACGTGTCCCAACTATAGCTCAGACATGAAATGGTGCAGGGTTCAGGGTTGGGTTCAGGGTTTATGGTATGAAGCCGAACATCGGAGCAGGTTCCTCCAAGTCTACAACATCGTCACCATCACGCTCAAGATGTCTGCCTGGCTGTTGTTCTTCTTGAACTTACTCTTGATGCATCCATAGCCTTCCCCAACGCGTGTGCATCCGGATTTATGGCAAAACTATGAACAGGACCTAAAGTGCACTAGCCCAGTTTCTGGTAGGATTGCTACTGGCATTAAGTCAAACAACTTGCTTACTACCGCAACTCCGAGTAAGTTCCGTTGACAAGACATGGGATAGCGCGTTGCATTCAGGGTGGGCAATAGGAAAAGTTGACGACGAAGCTAGGGATTAAGGTCGGCAGTTTTCGGTTTAGGGGCTTAATCAGGGTTTGGGTTGGTCTAGAGAGAGAGAGAGAGAGAGAGAGAGAGAGAGAGAGAGAGAGAGAAAAAAAAGAGAGAGAGAGAGAGAAACAAAAAGAGAGAGAGTGAGTGGATATGTTGTGTGCTACCTCAGTCTAGTGTGTTTCACGTACTGAGCTTCCCTGCGTCTGAGTGGACACAGGAATTGGACATGATTGGGTGTCAGTACGGCTGCGAGTGGATCTATAAGGGCCACTACGCTGTCGACCGGGGCATTCTTGCTTTTCCACCCCTGTTCAAGCGTGAAAGCCTCACCCTGTGGCTGTGGAATGCGCCCTGTTGGCTCAATGTGTTTATTACAGGGGTTTAATTAACTGCTTATAGAATTTGGGGTTCCTTATTGTAAATGTATAATGTACCCTGAAAGCCTATTATTATTAAGGCCCCTACAATGATAGATTTTTGCTGTTTGTCTGGGGAAGGGACGTGCAGCAGAGCAAGCAAAAGCACCCGAAGCACTTGGGGCAGGCAGACAAAGTATACAAAGTGAGGTGGTTGCCTGAAAATTGATTCAGCGCCCTTCCCCCGTTATAAAATACCTGTTAGTAAACTCGTGGCATGGTGTCATCATGCCGCATGTCATCTGCTGAGCCCGCTGAGATGCCTTCACATAGTGCACCGGCATGGCGACCTAGGAACACCTCCCGGGCCTCAGTCGCATAAACCCTGCAACAGGGCAAGCCCGGATTCTCGTAGCCAGCTCTTCGCAGTCATAACCCTAACCCGTAACCCCTAAACCCCTAAACCCCTAAACGCTACACCGTCAATGACCATGCGGTCGCCATGGCCATCCTAGATGGCGCAGACGAGCAGAGGCATTGCAAGGTTAAGCTAAAGGTTTCGGTTCGAAGCTTGCCCAGACCCCCAAAAGGATCTCAAAAATAGATCCCCTAAGCGGGTTCCTATAAAGTACCCTTTAGTAGTTAGGGTCCCCAATTAGGGGATCTATTTTTTAGATCCTTTTGGGGGTCTGGGTGAGGGCACAGGACTGCGGGTTTAGGGTTCAGGGTTTGGGGTTTTGGGAGGTGTCCATCCCAAGCGTGTCGGGATTGAGGATATCGGCCGGTGATCACTTACCGTCTGCAGTTGCTGAGTACTTCTAGTCTACATTAATTAGGACCCTATGATATAGAACTGGCTAGCCTCATCATTGTTTATGGTTAGGGGGTTTCGGACCCTGGTGCTGTTCTCCTGGAGTTGTATGTATATCTGTCATTGCATTTCCAGACAAGGTCAAGATCAGTTTGTGGTGACAACCCAGAATCTACTGCAAAAGTGGGCCATTCAGAGGAACCCGAAAAACCCTACCGTCAATAGCTAGCCAATGGCAGAACTTGAAACCCGTTTGCCATACAACATATATTCCTAGACCCCCCAACTACCTTCTATTATACCCCAAATACCTACTATTAGGGACCATAAGGGCTCCATTAAAGGGCCATTGGGGGGTCCTGGTTTGGTCTATCTTAGAGAGTGAGCTTGTTTTGGGCTTGGGGCCTGTACTTGAAGACTAAAGTCGTGTGGGCCAGCGGAGGGAAAGGATTTCTTGCAAGAAGGGCTTACCACACTTGCAGGGCATTCTACGTGTTATTGTATGGTTTTGTATGGGTTTCTTGAGTTGATATTCTATGGGTGTTATATGATTTGATAGTGTGCGTATACAGTCAATAATAGGCCTTAAATGGGCGGGTAATTCTGTCTGGGGGATAAAATTTTGGAGGTCATTGCCACCGCACCAAGACGCAGACGAGCCGACAAACACTGTCTGATCGCTTCAGGCAGCCGGCTTTGATGGGTGTTTAGGCGTTCTGGGTCTATGGGTTTTAGGGTTTCTGACTTTTAGGTTCGGGAGTGTATAGGGCTTACCTGGACCCTAAACAACCTACGTTTTCAGGGTTCCTCATTATGGTTTCCTTATATAAGTCCTTGAAACGGTAGGTTCTTTAGGGTCTAGGTAAGGTTTATGTAGCTTTAGTAGTTGCTTTTTCTTTTCGGAGAAAGGCAGGATGTTGGCCTGGAGCGTTTCCGTGCATACAGCGTTACAGCATGCAATCCATTCCAGCTGGTCGTGATGACGCTGACGAGGCCCATGATGGTCGTTAATGATTCCGCGGATACCTTCCCAGCTCAATGCACATTTTCAGCAGTCTCCTCCAGAAGAACCTAAAACCTAAACCCCAAACCCAAAACCCACACCCTAAACTGAAGTAGTACTTGGTCCAGATAGAAGGCTGGTGTTCAGGAGTGCTCTTGAAGCAGGCTTACATTGCAGAGCTCAAACCTTCTGTGGGACGTTGCAACTGGTGACAATATAAAGTCTTATTTGTGAAGAAATATAGGCGCCTACAAACTCAACCCTACACCGCCCAGTATGAACCCTAATCGCCGAGCAGCAAATCTTGTAGGAACCCTACCCTTATAGTGACTGCTTCAGCAACCCTATAACCTGCGGTTCCCCCTGAGCCAAGCACCATCTCCCTACTATAGAAGCCATAAATCATGAGTATACTCCTGTAAGGTTAATCTCTTTAAGATATACTTATACTAAAAGAGTCACTAGACTCCCGATTCTAATTTCTATAAGGCCCTTAAATTAGGCCGACCGGCTCTCAACCCTAAATCCTTACGTTAGGCCGACTGGCTGCGCTTGCCGCAGTCCCTGCTCAGACGTCATGCCGCCTCTGCCGCTGAGTTCGAGGTTCCAGAGATCGGGTCCAGGGACTATATAGGGCGTGGCGATGATCGGTAGAGATTATGGGTTAGGGTTTAGGCTATGTGGGGTTTATAGGTCAAGGGCTTGCGCGATGCTCTGACAAGCTTCAATCCGAGATTCTTAGCGTAGTATAGGGGCCTAAATAATCAACTATACGA